ATTAAAATTTTCATTTGCAACGGAATCACAAATTTACAAAAAATACCAATTGGTGAATCACTGAAATCGAGCATTTTCGTCAACTGATAAATCAAGGGTTACTCTCGATCCTTAAAAGCTTATGGTGACAACAATTCTGGACCGGAGCCCTAATACCTATTGTGATGGCTCGTTTCCCTCCATTTTCCTCAATTTCAGACTGAGGATTGATATCAGTGGGGAGTATATACCCAGTTGAAGCAGATATGGAGAGGTCTTTCGTCGATGGGGGTCAGCTAAATTTTGCCTTGAAATGTTATGCTCATCGTTCAAGACAACATTACCTAATATGAATCGGCGTGCCATCAAACTTCCCAATAACCTCACTTAAAATTGGAAGCTTAGTTTCCCCGTAACTTTGAATAAAGAAGCCAAAAACACAGGTTTTCACAATGTTTCCTGGATTATTCCGCTGCATCTGTACACGTGCATACTGCAGTCTGTGATAATTAATATATGGTCAGTAAATAACAGAATCATAGGCGGAGAAAGATTGCGATAAAACTTACTCACCAAACACATTTCTTACCAAGGTAGTGCCAGAGTGATAAGTCATTCACACTGTTTATGCAGTTTGGGATAGTAATTTTTAATGACTAATGCCTCGGCGTATTTCAGAACCTTGATGCTGCTTGTGTTGTAGAGGATTCTGAACGCGTCGCGCAGCATGACACATGTTTCATTTCGACCAGGTGTTGTGCGATCGACGAACTGAGTTTCCTACGCATTATTGGTGACCTCATACTTCCGAAGTTAACACTCAAAATCACCATCCCAAACTGCATAAACAGCGTGAGTGGCTTATCACTCTGGCGATACCTTGGTAAGAAATGTGTTTGGTGAGTAATTTTCACCGCAATCTTTCTCCGCCTATGATTCTGTTATTTACTGACCAAATATTAATGATCACATGGACTGCAGTATGCACGTGTACAGATGCAGCGGAATAATCCATGATACATTAGGCAAACATGCTTTTGGCTTCTTTATTCAAACCTCACTTAGGGCCACTTTCTTTGGGGCCCGTAATCCAAAATAAACAAAGTAGATTGCGAGTATTGCTATCAGCAGCTAAACTCTCCATCTGTTTACACTGTCCTACAAAATCAGTCAATTCTCACGCTCTCGATAAGCTGGCGTTTAAGGGATTTACGCCCTTTGTCGTGTTTGGCGTCAGACGGAACCGCTTTCCGAGGGTCCGGCAGGGCAACCGAGGTCGTGGAGATCCATCATCACAGTAGTTACAAACATACATCAAAATCATCTCACTAGATTGGCGTTTGAGGGACCGAAGTATCCTAAATCTGACAATGATCCCCATACTGAAAAACGACTAAAACCTAACTAACCTAACTAACACCTTTTGGCGTTTTTTTCTGAGGGCTACAATTTCGAAGCAAAACGGTTATCGTAACCAGAAGCGGTAGTAGATTAGAAAAAAGATCAACACAAATATACAGCATGATAACATAAGTCAACAAAAAAGCTTGTTTGTATGCTTTGCCGATTGGCTAAACACAGCAACATTTCTGGTGGACAACTGAAGAGAACTCAATGGTTTAGAAAGAAATGGTATCATTGTGTTAGTTAGCCTGCAAGTTGTTCCTGGGGTACTTGTAAAACGCTAATGGAGATGGGTGGTTCTGAATGCCAGAGTGGATGAATGAATGAGAGGTTACAGACGGAGGCTTCAAGTAACGAGATTATAAGTGGTTGGTCATGGTGCGATTAGTGATTGTGGAAATGGATCACGATCGTCCGCAACCTCCCATTCATTCAAACATAAGCAGTTTCACAACCATCTATCCTCATCCAATGCTCACACACACATACTAACAACCTGCACACCATTTAACCAGTCCTAAACTTGTCATTCTTTCCCAATTAGGAGATTCCCCTTATGGCACGTTTGGTCGATGGTAAAATGCACTGCATTTAGCCAGTGGATGAAATCCTGGAGCCACAATTATTTACTGCCATTCACTTTCATCAGTTAAAATTCTTGAATATTTACTTAAAGAGAGTATATCAGCTGTTTGTTAAAATCTATGCCCAAATAATGAACGCGTGTAACCTCACCGGCAAAGCAGATCAGACATATTAATCATATTTGATTTTACATTGTTCGGTCATTCTACTTTCTTCCTGTACACAATGATGTGGCTTTCTGCTTATTTGCGTATGATACGGTCATTGTAGCTAAATTTGGTTTAGAGTATCAAGCTTGGATTAGCCCATTCGATTTTTCAGAGACACCAGGCACTGTTGATGGTCTTGGGTGTGGGTTACACTCCTTGGGAGATCGTTAATTCCCCATGAGGTAATGCATTCAAAACACAAAACTTTTTTCAGAAACCAAAAGATCGAATAGCAACTTTTACAGATAAGCCGTCAGTGGTTTTATCTAATCCGTACTAATTTACGGAAATCTAGATCTGTGATTTGCTCGCTCAAATTGTACTCCAAAAATGGTACTTTATTCGAGTGCTGCAGATGAGTCTCTACATGAATTCAATTTCTGTTCAGTTTTCTTTGTCTGCTAGCACACAGAAGGTCTATTAAAACTATACACCGAGGACTCATTTAAAAGCTTTCGCATGGGACAAAAAGCACAGCTCTCCCAGACAAGAGCCACACTTTCTCGTCACTCTAATAGAATAAATATCTTTCCGCCTCTGTGAACGTTCTGGGTGAACAATAGATCAATTACTCAGTAGTGAAAAGTGACGAATCACTCTCGACCACAATCCAACTGCTCACGGATACCCGTGCATCACCAATGAATCCGATCGACGACCGTTATGGTTTCTCAAAGGAAACTGACTCTACGCTGCAGTGATATGGTGAACTAATCAGTCTGATTGTATGTTCACATGAAATCTTATCGAAATAAATGAAATTTGTAGCTTGTATCTTTGGCAAAGACAAGCAAACGGCAATACGAACTGCAGGAATTTCAAGTCAAGGTGAATCGTTTGCGTCAGACAGAGACCTTGGATTTAAGGTCCCTTATAAATCTAGATTGTGAATGTTTGGATTAGCCCATTCGGTCATTGTGGCTAAATTTAGTTTACAGTATCAAGCTTGGATTAGCCCATTTGATTTTTCAGAGACACCAGGCACTGTTGCTGATGTTGGATGTGGATTTCACTCCTTGGGAAATCGTCAATTCCCCAATGCATTCAAATGCAATGGAAGTATTTGTGATAACTTACGGAGCGCAGCGGACAGCTGTTTCGTCCTGTTTGGGACTCGTCATCACTGTGTACTTTTTGTGTCCTTGTCAAACATTGACCATCTAAATTGATTGAGCCATTCGTACAAGGTGATAACCGTCGACCGTGTAGCTCAGTGGTAAGGTTTTGAAGTCCAGACCCGACTGTTTGCAGTTCGAGTCCTGACCGGGACAAAATGTGGGCAATACTGACGAGTCCCAAACAGGATGAAACAGCTGTCCAGTGGTCTTTGTTGATTATCACAAACATTTCCATCGCGTTTAAAATTTAGTTTATTTCAAGAAAAACCGATAACGGAATACGCACTTGTGGACAATAAAATGTGATTGTGGCCAGCACTAAGAAAACCGTGGGTAGTTAAAAACCAAACTATTATTGGATGATTGGACCTTGACGCTTAAAAGCATGAAGAACTGAGTCCAAGAGGGAGGAAAACGGGGCGGCGGAAGAGAGGTTAGCTGGACTCACTTTATGAAAATCCGTACGTAAAGCGATCTCGGACATGAGTGTGCCGAAACTGTAAATATCCATTTCCGGAACTTCCATCAGATCCGGACAATCTTTCATTGGATAACAAAAGGCGGATACGCCACAGTACGTAATGGTACCGGTCGGGGAGGAGAGAGGGATGTTGAAAGATTTGGAATACCAAATAGGAGGCGGTTATCGAAATTGGAAAAAAAGTGATAAATTGAATTAAACTAGTGTTAGTGTACAAAAACACTGAATATTGAAAGGCTCTTTCCTATTTTCTGATAATTTAGTCTGTCGATTTAAACAACTTTTCTGCCCCGGGTATAACCACTTGTAAATATGTGCTGCAGTAGTTAAAAAGCCAACGGGAATAAACTAGGGTAATGTTTCAGATGAGTTATTGAGGATTTGATTCAACTTCAAAAGTAAGTTCATTGTGTATATAGCAAATGAAACGTGAACTGAAAGGTTAGGAAGCACTGGACAGCTGTTTCGACCTGGTTGGGTCTCATCACCAGTGCGAATTCATCTACCCCNATCTACCCCAATGAGGATCGAACCCGGGACCTCACAGGCAGAACGCAAGTGTATCACCCACGCAGCTACTGGGCAGCTAATCAAACCGCTTTTAATTTTTCTTTTACGCGATATAGCACAACCGATCTTGGCGAGCTTGTTGCGGGCCACAGACCTCGTTCATCTTAGCACCAGCCTCCGGGTTATAACTGGGTTGGAAACATTCACAACCTGACTATATCGTGTAAATAGAAAATGAAAAACGGTCTAATCAGCTGCCCGGTGGCCAATTGAGTAGCATTCTCTTATTCTGCCCATGAGGTCCCGGGTTCGATCTCCAGTTGAGTCGATGGATTCGCACTGCTGATGAAACCCAACCAGGTCGAAACAGCCGTCTGGTGCTTGCTAGCTTTTCAGTCCACACTTCTTTTACTGTATACACGACACATTCACGTTTGAAAAGTGTAGTGTTTGTCTGGTCTTTCGAATGAGATGGGGATTAAGATCCGGTACTGCGTGTTGGTAATATAT